AGAGTAGCAAAGACTTGTTGGGCCTTGGCATGTATAGGTGGAAGGAGAGGTTAGACCAGCTGAGTAATTAATTTATGGTATCCATGGACTTTGTCGGGCTCTCTAAAAGTTGGGAAGTTGGGGAAATTCCACTTTTTAATTTTAGTGTTGTCAGGAGGGTAAAATGCTAGCAGGTTTTGCTTAACTGGAACCAAGAGAGAGATGACAAGTTCTCTCAGTACCTTTAGAATATAGAATATTGTGATGTAACAGTAATGTAATGCAACAGTATTATTTTACTAATATTGTGTTTTAACTCTTAGAGTATTGGTATAAACCATTTAATATAAAATTAACGCCGTAAGGATGGAGGCCATTGTGCAACACTATAATATTTATTAAACAATTTAATATATATTAGTTGGCTTAAAAGTGAAAAATAAAATAAAAATGAAAAAACGTGGAGGACAGTCTCATACACAGTCCAGAACATTGTTTGCATTATATAATAGGAAAACATAAAACTTACTAAACAAGTAATGTCTAAAATAAAAACTGCTTTTAACCTCATACATTACAGATTCATTACTAATGGCTGGAATTATTTAATGTAATAAGTAAACTGTTACAGTCATGACTTAAATATGAATATTAATTTAATAATTAATATATAATAATTAAGCAACAAATAACAACATTAATAGAGTTCGGTATTATGGTCGAATATATAATAGGAAATACACAAAACATTGTAGTATTAAATGTATATTTAATATAATTATTATAACAATTAAACAAATGCTAGCAGAATGTCAATTTACCACAATATTTACACAATACAAAACTACAACATTACTTACAAAAGGCTATAACAGTTGCTAGCTGTTATAATAGATTACTTACACGGCTCCAGCCTGTTTGGCTGGAGCTATACACACAGCTACATGTTCAATCAATGCAAGCAAAGGAAAAAGGAGGCTCAATTCCTCCTACTATTTGGTTTTATCCAGTAAGTAGGCTGGCCTGTGATGTCACTGCCAGAAGCACATGAGTTAGCACACTGACCCCTAGTGGTGCCTCTAAAGCATTAAGCTCATTATGCTTTACTGACATGTAGTGGTGCGTCTAAAGCATTAAGCTCATTATGCTTTTTTATGACAAAAAGTCATTAATTAATAAATACCATTACAAACCACCCTTTGACTTAAGTCATAAAATAAACATTATAAACCCGTACATCTTGAATCTACCCTATTTTAACAGTACCTGCCCTACAACAAAACCCACCTTTTGAAGAATGATACCCATTTACCCGTAAAGTTATGACACTTTATTGCTTATTAAATTTTTTTTTTATTTTTTTTTTGAGCACATGCATCACCAGTTGGGAAACCTTGGCCTAAAATAAGCACATACCCACCCTTATAATAACCACTGAGCACATGCATTAGCAGTTGGGAAACCTTGGCCTTAAATAGGCAAATACCCACCCTTGTAATAATAGACAACTCAAACCATGTTTTATTAGATTAACCAATGTGTTCATGTGAGGATGTGTTTTGGAGCTTAATATAGTATTAGACACCACAAACTCATAACACCTATGAATCATGGCACAGACCGACTCGATTTCTGTAGCCTCTGGCTGGTCTGTGTGCCTGGAATTTTCACAAACATTAGTCCTGGAAACTGGATACTCTATTCTTCGACAGTCTCATAGAACATACGCATGGAGACAGGGATGAATGAAACAGTTCATGTGATCAAGGACTTTTGTGTGTTTGTGGTCACATTGTTTTGTTTTTTCTTTCTTTATACCATTAACCACCTTGACGTAACAGTGTCCTGCTCCTGATGCATTTGTTCCGACTCTCACCACTCTTAGCTGCAATATTTTTTCTCCTTACAGCAACAGTTGAGCATAGTGTCCAGTGCTTCTTCTTCTTCTGCTTAAAATATCCTTGCTTGAAAGTTCTTGAATGAAAACACAGGCAATGACGAACACAAACATAAATAATAACTGTGCCAATCATCACAAGTACCATTTGATTGTGGTGTCTTAACCATATTTTTTCCTATGGCGTTTGGATAAATACCTACACACCTCTCTTCACATCCAGCACACTCCTGATTCACAGATAAACACAATATCACTGCTGTATCTACCAATTTAACCCAAACACTCGTTATTACTGCTGCATTTACCAATTTAATCTAAACACTCGTTATCACTGCTGTATTTAACCAATTTAATCTAAACATTAACCAAAACAATTACATTCCTATTTACCACCCTTCTATTTAAACATGTATAGATAACCCAAAATGCCTACTTTCTCTTATCCCTCTTATCATTCTTCCGTTTTTTTTTTTAACTGCAACCACTCATGCACTTTACACAGACACAAATCAAGCACCTACTGGACAATGGGGTTCCCTCGTTAGAGCCCTCCCACCCCAGTTTGGTTTACACAAAAATACCCCCTGGTCCCTATGGGTCAATTCCCCCCTTTCCCAGGCAAGCATACATACATACATACATACAATAATACATAAGGGTTTCAATTGCAATACAATCACTAGAAATAAGAGAATAGTATGCACAAAATCATAGCATAGACATGTTAAATAGACAATAAAATAAAACATTCAATAGCTCATCAAAGGTCAACATTTAAACACTGGTCTCCATCTGATATTCTATCTGTGTTCCAATGTCCACCTCTGGTTTCTGCTACATCTGAAAAGGTTAGGAAACAGATCAGGATTACTTTCCTAGTCACTTATAGCGTATACTGCAAATATTTTACTTAGAATATATATATATATATATATATATATATATATACACACACACAGACATGTAAACACATTCCTTCAGCTTTTCATTTTATAAACAATTTGTTCAACAAGGTAACTTTCTTAATTTTCTACTCGGCTCTTAAAATAAACAATCAGCTAATAGCTGCTTTCTGCATCTTCCTTGCAATTCAGGAGTACACAACACTAAAAGTCCAATACTCAGTACCCCCTAGCCTAAATTCCCCACCCGCTACTGTAACTAAGTTTACAGCCCACGTTATGGCAGTTCACCCGCTAGGCAGATATGCTCAGTACCCCCTAGCCTAAATTCCCCACCCGCTACTGTAACTAAGTTTACAGCCCACGTTATGGCAGTTCACCCGCTAGGCAGATATGCTCAGTACCCCCTAGCCTAAGTTCCCCACCCGCTACTGTAACTAAGTTTACAGCCCACGTTATGGCAGTTCACCCGCTAGGCAGATACACAATACACCCACGTATTACTTATTTTATATTTCCTGGTCTCTCAGGGATATACAATAGCTAATCCCCTTCCCAGGGCAATATAAAACTTACACAAACTTTTAAGCAATACAGGATTTCAAATGGACTTATGAGTAACAAATTTCTAGCCAACTTAAACATGTTTAATAACTTTCCACCCTTTGGTTAAATTATAGAGGAGTGAACCACAACACCTCTTCCGCCTCTGAAAGGATATAGGTCAATATGTCTCAAAGTTCAACACTTCTGACAGCTATGAGTGACTCCCTATTAATTTCTAGCCTTTCCACGGACATGCTTGCACCTCGCGGCTAAGGGCCTGCACAACTAACCACCCTGTGATGGCAGTGGCTTTCCGCATGGGGGTGACCGCCCCCGCAAAATTATAGAGGAGCAAACATACAGCAGCCTCTTTTCCGGCTCGATTAAAGGTTCTGGGCCAATATGTCTGCAATTTAACCAGTACACTCACGTATCACTTATTGTATATTTCCTGGTCTCTCAGGAATTTCTATTAAATAGCGTATCCCCTTCCCAGGGCAATATACAACAAAAACTAGTCACCAAGGGTCTCTATGGTCATGATAGGCCACCCTACCACTAGTGTAATACGCCCTTTTTTAAATATATTTCCTGGTCTCTCAGAGATTTTGCCTATCCCTTTCCCAGAGCAATATATATAAACAATTACAAATAAGTTACAAAACGCTACTTATAAGTAATACAGGGTTTCAAATAATAATAATACAGGATAGAACTGCACAACAACTATTGGGTATGCTCCCCCTTATCCGGACACGTTTAAATACCCCCTAGCTCAGGATCCCCACCCGCTACTGTAACTAAAATCACAGCCCACGTTATGGAGGTTCACCCGCTAGGCAGATACACCCTAATTCAAAGCATGGAAATATTAAAATCAGTTATAGATGGCTTCTAAAATAATATAAATCTTAATCTGAGCCTATACACTTACTTTGTTAAAAATGCTAACTTGTTAAAATATTCAGACTAAATAGGACAAAGGAATTATTTTACCATTTTTTCAGTTCATTTGTTACCAGTTCCTGCATATGTCCAGTAATTCCTTAGTCCTGGATAATAAAGCTGAAAAACACTCCACAAATTGATTAGTTTAGGCAATTACATTTACAAAACAATGCAGTTTATTTTTTCTCATACAGGCAAGACTACCCACCCCCAACAAGGACAAATTCTCCCCCAGCTGTAGCTGAAAAGCATGGTCACACAGCTGTTAAAAAGGTGGTCTCTCCTTCATGAGTCAAAATCATATATATATTTATACTAATATTCTGTGTATACGCACACATAAATCTATTATTCACTGAATCTGCTTTACTAAACGTATCTTTTTCTTAACTACTAATTTAATAAATTTTGTCCAAATCTCTTTTCAACTAGACAAATCCATGAATGCCAAACAAATGTAAATTAGTACACAAACAGGGTCAAATTTAGCAATAAAACCTGGTGAACTAGTTTAGTGAAAAGTCTTTTTCTATGCAAATGGTAGCAAACAATGAAACTAGGCCTCAACTCATTCACACCTTGTGGTCAATGGTGGATTAAAATCCACATGGTCAGACAAAAGGTAAAGTATATATATATTTTTTTTACATACAAATGACCAAAGATTGGTAACAAGCAACACAATAATTCACTTCTATACAGACAGACAATTGACTCTATGTATTAAACAAAATGCATAACTTTTGTATTTTCCCTAATATTCCAGCATAATCCCATATCTTCGTCGCCAAGTGTTACAGTCATGACTTAAATATGAATATTAATTTAATAATTAATATATAATAATTAAGCAACAAATAACATTAATAGAGTTCGGTATTATGGTCGAATATATAATAGGAAATACACAAAACATTGTAGTATTAAATGTATATTTGATATAATTATTATAACAATTAAACAAATGCTAGCAGAATGTCAATTTACCACAATATTTACACAATACAAAACTACAACATTACTTACAAAAGGCTATAACAGTTGCTAGCTGTTATAATAGATTACTTACACGGCTCCAGCCTGTTTGGCTGGAGCTATACACACAGCTACATGTTCAATCAATGCAAGCAAAGGAAAAAGGAGGCTCAATTCCTCCTACTATTTGGTTTTATCCAGTAAGTAGGCTGGCCTGTGATGTCACTGCCAGAAGCACATGAGTTAGCACACTGAGCCCTAGTGGTGCCTCTAAAGCATTAAGCTCATTATGCTTTACTGACATGTAGTGGTGCGTCTAAAGCATTAAGCTCATTATGCTTTTTTATGATAAAAAGTCATTAATTAATAAATACCATTACATAAACACTGAAGTGTTTTGATTAGATCCATAATCAATTTATTATGGATAAATAATGATATATTTACAAAAAAAAACTACTTGTATAAATTATTGTGGCTGTATTTTTACACATAGTATCAGTAATGATATTCATTTAAAATCATCCCAATTGAAATTAATTTATTCGAATTGTGAGCTGTAGCTTATTGTAATCTTTAGAAAAGCTTCATAAGTATATTTCAAGCATTGCTACTTTGAACACAGAGTTCTATAACAAATGTACTTTTTAATGGCTTTCAATAATTATAGTGCCGACTGTCCTTTTACATAAAGTTGAATTTATTTTGTCAGTTTCAAAATATTTTTTTTTTTGTGACTGTGATTTACGTTAGTCTTTATTTTCAAATTATAATTTACTTCAAAGAGAATCTTCAAATAAGTTATTTTTGAAAATGTGACAGATGCATTGTAACTATTGCAAACTCATCAAGATGCTTAAACATACTGGCATGTTTAATGGACTTAATTGCTTTTTCATATATTCTGTATGAAATGATTATAACCTAATTTAGCAGAGCCAGATGTTACACTAAAAATATATATTTTAAAGAGAAAACTGTCAACAAAATATGAATAAAACAAAGTTAAAATGATATCAAATAATTATTTGTTTCTATTCATGATTTGGAATCCTTAAATTGTGTATATAGCTAATGCATGTAATGTTTCATGCTACTTGTATTTTTTAAAACATTCTCATGTGACTCAAATATATAAAACCATGTACAATCAATCAACTCTCTTCAGGAAAGATATTTTCACAGACCATGAACAAGGATTATGCTGGGGGGTGTACCTGATGGGTAAATTCCCCATCTGGCGTCTTTTTCCAGAACGATTTTTTAGCATCACCATAAAATAGTATTTAATCATTTAAAATGTAAAACTGCTACATTTGGAATCCATTTCACATTTCAAAATATTTAAGGTTATAAATAATAGAAATTACTGTTTTAATACAAAAAGAAAAATAATTAAAATTTTAAAAGAAAGCGTGATTTATTTATTTATTTTTATTTCTTTCAAATTGCGTTTTATAGATTTGAAAAACAGGTCAGAGAAAAAACATATATACATTCGACAACAATGTACAGATCGATGATTCTGATGTAACTGATGCAACTGCATCTTAACTATAGCAAATATGGTTACAGCGTAGTTTCATTCCATAAAACAACTACAACCTTGCTTTATAATTTACTCCAAATTATAACAATTAGCAGAATAACTTTAACACTGAGAAGGGGGTGGTGTGGGGTGGTGGTGGGGGGTTGTATGGGAACCCTATAGTGTGAGTCCTGTAATACTAATACTTTTTTTTTATGGTAAATCATTTTATTGGAATTATATCTACTAGGTATCACAGAACAGGAGGAGCATGCAGGGTCCGAAAGGCATAACAGTGGCAGAGCATTAAGCACAGAGTATATAGTGGCAAACAAGGTTGCATAGAAAACATACAAGTGCATTGTGAAACTACCTGCCAATCAGATCGTTTGTGTCAAAGGCGGGGCTGAACGTCTGCCCATCAGTTCAAATCGTGCATATGTAAAGGAAGTAGATACCCCCATTTAAGGTTGATTCAGATTGCATTTACATATATATATAGTATAACTTTCCCTTCTATAATAGGTTCCACAGTAGCTTGCTTTGCTAACCATGGAACTGATAGTCAGCTCCTAATAATCAGGTGGATTGTGTGAACCGTGTCAGTGATATGAAGCAAATGGGCCAGTATG